GTAAAACCAAATATATCAAGTTCCTTCTCTTCAATCTATAATTACCATAATAGTGATTATTCAACGACTATCCCATATCGTTTTATGAAAAACTCATGTGTTAATTCTGTCAACATTGAGCTCCTCCTTAGGCATCAGAAGTTGAACACAAGATGGGTGTCAAGTGAAAGAGTTAGATATTTTTCATCAGAGCACAATAAAGATGAATTATTCGAGGACAACGACCAATACGCTTCGTCAAAATGTAAAGAGTTACTTAATAAAGAAATACAAAAAAATACACATGATCTCACACCATAACAAAAAAAATGGTCCATATTTTTTAGTTTTATCCAACCTAGCTCATATTGTACATATTTTGAAAGCACTAGCAAATTCAAAACTTGTGTTCTTACAACCATTGCTTCTAAAAGCTATAGAGTTAAATATTTGTTCTCATAACCATTGCTTTCACTCTTTCTTCTTTTCACATCTTCTACATATGCTTCTAGGGGTCGTCCGCCATTGTTGCTTCTTACCCTGTGTCACATGGTTGCAATATAAGAAAATTGAAGAGTAGAAGTCCACCATTGAAGGCCATTCAAAGCTTTGCTTTCGAAAATAGAATTTTTTGAGTTTGTTAGTTGTTTGGATTGGGTGTTATTCCAATTGATTCAAAATATCAAAAGGAGTTTAAAATTTAAATTTGAAGTAATTTGGAGTAGATTTGAGCAAGATTTGAGCAAGATTTGAGTTAAATTTTAGAAAAGACGCAAGGAAGAAGACGAAATCAGTTTTTTGTATAATTATGTATAATAGTGTATATGAGTGTATAAACACATCTTATACACTATTATACACATTTATACAAGCGTCTCTAAATGAACTTCTTCCACGATTTTCAGTTGCAATTCTTGTTCAAAACCAGTCCAAATCTCCATTAAATGACTTCAAATTTTATATACAACCTCCTTATACTATTTCTAACAAGTCTAAATAACACCCACTCCAAATTTAAAATTTAAACCCACATATTTAAGCTTGTTAAAAATTTAATTTTCACCATCCAAATGGATTTGTTTTGTTGAACTAATATTTGAGTCGATTCGAAAATTAACTCAAAAGGTTGAACAATCTTTTTTAAAAATTAAATAGTAATTTCTAGAACTTAACCTATTATTTTTGGACTAGTTGGTTGTAAATTAAAATATGAGCTATAAAATTAAAAAGCAGGGAACTTAGTAAATTTCCCTTTAATAAATTACGCGTGAGTAATAAAGGGTTTTTATCTCCACATATAGAGTTTATTAATCAAATACCCAAGGAGCTCGGTGATGTGACACCGAAGGAGTTCCACAAAGCAATAAGTTTTTCTTAATATCCATGGGTATTTTGAGCGTCATCTATTTTGTTATTGGCATTTCTATTCTTTCTTTAAGTGGTGGGACGAGGGGTATTTCATTGGGGGCTGCGCTAAGTGGTCCTTGGGCGGTAAAGTGTGTCTTGCAATTTTGCTTCTTTGCGTATGCAGCTTTACGCGAAATAAGGGCGATGCCGAATGTCAAATTACTAAGTAAAAAACTCAAATTATTAAGGAAAAGGCAGGAAAAAGGTAACCTGAAGATTCCGAGTACTCTTGCTTTTCAAGTCCTCAAGGAAGTGGAGAGGGCCTATGAAAGGAGTAAGACTTCAATGTATACTTTTTTTTGGCATAGATATAGCTTTATTTAGTTTTACTAGCTTTAGCACGTGTTAATAAACTAAAAATTACATACAAAAAGAATAAATTATGTAAAATTAAAATGGGCATTAAAATTGATGCGATACTCATTTAAATGACAACAATAATGTTGTTATATTGACTCGTTTATTGAATTTAAAATAATTAAATATCTTTTAAACTTGTAACAATGAACAATTTAATTAAGTTAATTATATTAATAATTATAGCCNTCTTCTACTGTTGCATTATATAGTAACTCTTTCAAGGTTGTGTTTCAACCAATTTAACTTGCAAATTGTATTATAACTTATTTTACTCTATTTTTTGGATATCATTTACCAGCAACATTATGCTTATGGAAATAAATTTATGAACCCTAAGAATCTATCTAGCTTGAAAAAATAATTTTACTTATATGATGAATTTGAAAAAAAAAAAACTAAATTGATATTTGTTGCTAATTATCTAAATCAAAGACTTGATTATCTATTCTAAATAATTTAGTTCTTGTCGATTCAAATTCTTAATATTAGCTCGTATCAATTTTTAATATTTAACTGTAATTATAATTATATCTAATAAAAGTTTAATTATTTTCAAACGATAAAACATAGCGCATAAATATTGTCTAAATACGACAACAAAAATAAAGAGAAGAAATAATTTTATATATTATGGTCATCCTTTTTTTGTACTAATGGTATTTGAAGTCGATCAACATATCAGTTTTTTTTTTAAAAGAAGTCATATTAACAAAACAAGAAAATAGTTATTTGTAACTATTGAATTTGTACAATATGTCAACCACGTAGTATAAATAATTAGTAAAAGTAACTAATGTTAATTCAGTAGTCGAAGAAAGTTCAACAGCGAGAAACTCGACTCATCACCTAATCAGTCGTTCCATCAAACAAGTCAAAAAATTACAGGAAAATAACTTGTATAAGAATATAAAGACTTCCTCTATTCAATTTAACATACAAGTTTTACAAATAAAAGTTCAAAAAGAAGAGGCATGCACGCTAACATAGTTGAAATACTTATTCTTCTTATATCGAAAGTTAAACATAACCTAGAAAATAATGATCACAATTAAAAAGCCAAAAATTCAAGCACAAATAAATATAGAATATTTTTCTCAAATAAAGAAAACCTGGAAACTCACAAAGCTATAGACCCAATAACGAAAGCCAACCTATGATAATGAAGAGCGTGGAATACTTTTTTTTTATAGAAGTATTTGCCAATGCAATTGAAAAAGGGAAAGAATCTATGTTAGGTAAAATTATGTATAGTTTCAATAGACAAAGAAAAAGAGTTCTAAAAAAGAAAAGAAAAATAAGGCCTATTAAAGATAAAATTTCATAACCCAAAAAAGTACCCATAACCTAGAAAAAGAAACTAAAACTGAAGAAGAAAAGAAAAATAGGAACTCCAAAGGCAAAAATTTTATAACAAAAAATAACACTCGTGGTCCTAAAAATACTCCTAAACTTAAATGGAGTTGATAGTGAAGGACTCTTGAAAAGGAATTGAGAGAAATAATATAATTTTTTAAATCAAAATCCTAAGTATTAGGCAATAATTAAATGAATATTATAATTTTTCAAATTAAAGTCCTAATAGTCCTAAACATTAGGCAAATAATTAACTGGCTATTTTTAGTATTAGAAAAAAGAATTAATGACTATTCTTATAGTAGGAGAATAAGTTAAATTACTATTGTGTTCAATATGAATATATTTTTAATGGGCATAAAAGGCGAACTGTATTTCGCTAAGGGTCTTTGTACTTTTAATATAGGGTACGCGTTTCACGCGTGTATCCCGTATCAATGAATATATAAGTTTCTAAGTGTGAGATCTTGAAATTAGTAAATATTGATTTATTTAACTATCTTAATAAAGGAAGAAATCTTTCTCTACATAAATCCTTAGATGCCTTATTATAATTTCTAAAGAAATATGGGAATATCTTATGAAATTTGTTATTATTTTTGTGACCTAATACTAACCGGTATGTGCTTTGCGCGTATTAAGTCAATGAGCAAATACTTTAAAAAAAATAAGTCAAAATATGGACTACACTTTTAATGACAAAGAATATTTACAGGAAAATAATTATAGAAAATTGATGCATATACAATAGTTTATATATCTAATTTGGGAAAAAATATATATGTTGAATGAAGTTTAAAGATTTTTTTATAAAATTCATATGTGCATGTCCCTAGCGTACGTTTACGAACAATAAATAAAATATTATAAACAAATTATTTAATTTAAATAAGATAAAATAACTTCAATAAGGTCATTAATGACTTCTTTTATAGGAGTATTTGGCTTTATATAATACAAATAAAAAATAATTTAACCAATAAAATCATGTATAACTCAAATATAGAAAAAAAAGAAAAGAAGTAGCCAACATTATTTGTAGTTTTATTTTTTGTGCTCTAATTCAGTAACCAACTTTATTTGTTGTTGCTTACTGTTTTATTTAAATAAAATAATTAAATTATGAATGCTTAATTGGTTATAGTACCAAAACACAGAAACTCCTAAACCTAGAGCAACAAATCTCAATGACGGTAAATTGAATTAATTTCTCAGATTTCGTTTGAAGAATTTTCGTGTGTCCCTCTTTCATAATAATTATTAAGTTACATAATTTAAATAAAACTAACTTATATAAGGTCAAATTTGAATTTATTTTAGGGAAATAATTTATTGACTATTCCTAAAAAGTAGAAAATTAATTACGTGGATATTCCTAAATAGTAGAGAATTAATTAAATGACTATTTCTAAATATTAGAAAAATAATCAAATGACTATTTTGTCCAGTGTGAACTCTATTTTTAAAGGGTAAAAAAGACGAATGACATTTCGCTAAAAGATTTCGTACTTTTAATATAATATAAATTTGTTATAAATTTTGGTCTAACTAAATACGTAGTTTATTTGTAGTTAGGAATCTCATGCTGCACTACTCCAATAGTGGCATTCTATTTTTGTACCTTATTGTGATTTACCCAAAGGATATTGATGGATGGGTTGAGCCAATATCTGTTTATTTTTGTACTAGATGATGCAAGCCCCCAACTGCAAGTTACAATATGAAGCAATTTATTGTTATTTTTCTTAGAGAAAACAGATGTTCACTTAATGATATCAACTTTTCCCGTTATTGCCGTGCAATATCACGAAATTCACTTTTCTGATGCAATCAAAAAAATTCCCATAATATCACTGCTAGTTAAACAGTAGAAACACCAGATAAAAATAAGGCAGGTCCCATAACAAACTCAAAATTCAAATGAAATTAGGGAAAGTGCGATCGCTTAAAAGTTACATTAGTACATCTATTATGAAAAACGTAGAAGGCATACATTTGGACACTCCCAACAGTATTCATCTACTGAATTGGACAATGGCAAAGGTATTGTTTCAGCACGTGGAAGTTCATCACTCCTTTTAGACTCTTTCTCATCAGAGGATAGTCATGCAGATAAAAAAAAGAAAGAAGAGATGTTTGAATTCCACAACAGAGAAATTCTATGATGATTCACGAGTATGAAATCTCTCATTATTCACTATAATATGCCTCCGCTTTGAGCACCCTAATTAATGCTCTATATTTTTATTAGCAAAATCTTATGCAGCTTTACAAACATGGTAGAGGTTATTGAGCAAACCATATCTATTTCAGCTAGATTACTTTTTATATAATCCAAAAGAATATAAATAAATATTTTTTCCTGTACTGAAGTTCTTCTGGTAGAAGGAAATTCATTTGATGAAAAAATAACTTATTTTTGTCTGAAGCTTCAGATGTAGAAGGGAATTCATATAGCAATTGGATGGTGAAATCGTAAACTGAATAGATTCTCATTCTCACAAATTAATCCGTCATGATAATGTTGAATCATGATCTTCCTTCAGCAAAAACTCCACAGTCCACAACAAAAAAAAATGCAACTCTTGCATTCTATTTGAACGATATAAACATAAAGTTTTCAAACTGCCAATCGGACCAATATAATTAAAGTAATCCGAAAGCATATTAAAATTCCTACAGGGTAGTACAACAAATACTCCCGACTTCATATGATGTCTCAGAGAGGATAAAACTTCTTTAAACTGGGTAAGACTCTAATTTGGACAAGTTTAAGTGCTAAGTAGGTTCTTAAAAATTACACAAGGTAAATGAAAAGTATAAGATCTAGTTCAAGAGTGGTAAACTGAAAAGGGACCTAAAAGAATAGTTTACTCTTAAAACATACACAAAACTAAAAATTGTTAAGCAAACTTATTTCAACTGTTAAAATCATTTGGTCCTTGTCATTGCCACTTCTTCTTAGTTTAGAAATAACTTTTACTGGAGCCGCTGCCTTGTATACTTATAAAGGCGGAGAAGGAATACGTCAATATGTCCAAGAAAGAAAGTGAATTTATTTATCCTGAATTTAGTACATGGCAGTAGTTTTTCTTATGTGATTATCCATCTTTCAGTTATTGGAGGTTGTACTCAAGCAGATTAACAATAGTTGGTATCTGTTATTGCATCGTAATTTCAAGTTCTAACTTATCTGAAAACTTGTCAAATTAAATTAATTACCAACTGAGACGAGGCAGAGGCCTAGGCAAATGTGCACACAATCACGATTAAACATAGTGTTATAGGCTATATTGAGAATAAAAAATGGTACTTTATAATCTCTTTGAAGAGGGAAAGATGAGCCTCTTGTGGCATTAAAAGGACGATGAAATACCACTTGAATCATTGACAATAGAATGTTCAAAGAGAGGATGTTTTAGATGTCTTATATTGTCTTAATTTCATCCCAGAATTGATACTTTTACCTTAATAATGCTGAGGTAAAAGAGCTATTATGATTCACAAATTTTTTATAAGGAAATTTTGTTCATTGGTTATTTAGATCTAACACCAGATACCAGATAGAGATAATGAAAAGCACAGAATTTCTCGTTCAAAGCTTGCACGACAAACATAAATGACATAAATTATATCATGGTATTACTAATGCGATGAGCATAAATCGCTTAACAGCGACACAAAGAACACTTCATTCATTCCAAATGACACATACAAATAATTTTTGTCAATTACGTATAAAGTAATAGCTTATGCATTGAATGTATTAAGTAAAAATAGCATACACTTACTTTTTTAGGTCGACAGTGCCTGTAACTATAATTCAAAGTTCCTGAAAATAAAGACAACAAAAAACTTTATTTTGTCAGTGGTTTATCTGTAATTATGAATAAAAGAATTTGCAGTAACATGCTAAAATAAAAAGTTACAAAGTTATGTGCAACAAACGGTCAAACTTAATCAATACAACTTAACAGCTCAGAAAACATTGAATGCATCAATATTTCATCTATATAAGACAAAACACATGCAACCACCTTTTGTTTCGCTTTTACTAATCATTAAACACTCTAAAAAAAGTACACTACGCAGGAATATAATTCTGTCACACTGGTCCATTTGATCGACAAATAATGAAGAGAGAATTAGACAACGAATTGATGACAACAACCATTTGACTACTATGTTATATATCTAAAGGAGTTTCAAAATAGGAGCCCATAAAAAATCTGGAAGAACAGAAAAGCAGAAATCAAATTCCAAAGTTGAATTTTTATATGTAATCCTTGCACAGTAGCAAAAGCACAAATTTCCAAAACATATAATACACCCGAATAAGAAAGAAAAAAAGAACTAAAAATAAGGAACCGTACGATAATTTCAAAGAGCAAAAAAAGAACTATGCTGAAAAGTCTACAAATTAATTTAAGTTGTTGTCTTGATTCTTGACACATTATATGCGTAGAACCTGCGCCTGAAATGTGCTAAATTAAGAAATCGTTTTTAACTGATGATAGATTAAATAAATTACCAACTTGAAAATTCATATTAACTTCCAAGAATAGAACAGAAATCGGGACGACCGAAGAGAACCGAAAGAAAAGAAGACATCTGCCACTAACTTCAGCTGTAAAACTGGAGAGACTGAAGAGAAATGGAAAAACTTCTGGCAAAAAATTAAGAAAAGCACATCTGAAATTAATTGTAACCCCCAACTGAGAAGACAAAACGAACTGAAAGGGTAGTCTTCGGAAGACCGAAGAAAAATCATGCAACAGTATAATAGATTAAGGGCAAAAAGAAAAGCAAAAAGAAGAAAATGAAGTCCAAAGAACATCGAAAAGAGGCAGAAAAATAACAACATCAGACATGAATTTGGAAAACACGAAGAGAATTAGAAGAAGATTTGGGCAAAAGATTACTAAAAGAAAAACATACCTGAGATTACTACACTAGTTGAAGAGACGAAGAGAAGATTGTTGGAATAAGAGTAGTCTTGCGTCTGATTTTTGGAATGAGAAAGATTGAAGAAGGATACTTCAAGAGCCAGCAAGAATTAAACACCAAAAAAGTCGTTATTTAAATTAGAGTATCTAAATTACTCTTTTACCCTTGGTCGACCTCTTTTCTATATGATAGAAATTATCATTGTTTTGTCCGGACTATTTACTTAGTGTGAATCTCTTGATGAGAATGAATGCAGAGAATGTTATAAAATAAAGACAGTAAAGTAAAAACAAGTATAGAGAGAAACTAATATATTATTCAATTTTAAATTGATGTACATAATGAACTAAAAACTTCTCTATTTAAAGAAAAAATAAAATTATTGTATAAGTTGCTACTGCAAGCTGTTGTGTAAGCTGCTACTGCAAGTTGTTGTGTAAGCTGCTACTGCAAGTTGTTGTGTAAGCTGCTACTGCAAGCTGCTGTGTAAGCTGCTTGTAAGCTGCTATTGTACCAGATATAGATAATCTTCTACCGGGGGTAATATTTATCTATAACGGAGTACCGAAAGGATAAGCTCATGGTACCAGGTATAGATAATCTTCTACCGGGGGTAATAACCATAACGGAGTACCAAAAGGATAAGCTTCTTCAGGAGACTTATTTCCAATAGAGTACTAAATAGATAAACATATTTACGGCGGAGTCCCATATGGATAAGCTTCTTTATAAAGGAGTACTAAATGAACATCCATAATATAATATATTCATAACACTCTCCATTGGATGTTTATTAAAAGATAATCTGCCTCATTAAAACCTTAATAGGAAAAATCCCATGGAAAAAAAATTCTAGTGAAGGAAAAAGAATACACATATTTAGTAATACGCATAACTAGTTGTCTCATTAAAAACCTTATAAGGAAAATCTCGTGGGAAAAACCTTAGTAAGGAAAAAAGAGTATAGCGCGTATTTTACTCCCCCTCATAAGAACCTTATTTTAAATATTTGAGTCTCCGCATTCCAATCTTGTATACCGTTTTCTCAAAAGTTGAAGTTGGCAAAGATTTAGTGAATAAATCTGTCGGATTGTCACTTGAACGAATTTATTGCACATCAATGTCACCATTTTTTTGAAGATCATGTGTGTAGAATAATTTTGGTGAAATGTGCTTCGTTCTATCTCCTTTTATAAATCCTCCCTTTAATCGGGCTATGCATGCAGAATTGTCTTCGTATAAAATTGTGGATCTTTTATCACATTCCAAACTATATTTTTCTTGAATAAAATGAATCACTAATCTCAACCATACGCATTCCCTACCTTCTTCATGAATAGCTATTATCTCAACATGATTTGAGGAAGTAGCAACAATAGATTCCTTTGTGGAGTGCCATGATATGACAGTACCTCCACATGTAAACACGTACCCGGTTTGAGATCGAGCTTTATGGAGATCAGATAAATAACCTGCATCTGCATAACCAACAAGATCTGCACTACCTTTGTTAGCATAAAACAAACCCATATCAATAGTTCCTTTTAAATATCACAAAATATGCTTAATCCCATTACAATGTCTCTGTGTAGGAGAAGAGCTATATCTTACTAGTAAATTAACAGAAAATGCTATGTCAGGCTTTGTAGCATTAGCAAGATACATAAGTGCACCAATTGCACTGAGATAGGGTGTTTCAGGACCAAGGAGTTCCTCATCCTCTTCTGGAGGCTGGAACGGGTCCTTATTCACTTCAAGTAATCGAACAACCATTGGTATACTCAATGGGTACGCTTTGTCCATGTAAAAGCGTTTTAAAACTCTTTCTGTATAGGCAGATTGATGTATAAAGACCTCGTATGCCAAATGTTCAATTTACAGACCAAGACAATGTTTTGTCTTTCCAAGATCTTTCATCTCAAATTCTTTCTTAAGATATTCAATTGCCTTTTGGAGCTCTTCTGGAGTTCCAACAAAATTTATGTCATCAACATAAACAGCAAATATAACAAATTCTGATGCTATTATCTTTATAAAAATACATGGACAAATAACATCATTTATGTAACCCTCTTTCAACAAATATTCACTAAGGCGATTATACCACATGCGCCCAAATTGCTTTAAACCGTACAAAGATCTTTGCAATCTGATTGAATACATTTCTCGAGATTTTGAATTTGCTTCAGGCATTTTAAATCCTTCAGGTATTTTCATGTAAATCTCATTATCAAGTGACCTGTACAGATAAGCTGTAATCACATCCATCAGATGTATATCAAGCCATTCACGTAAGGCTAAACTGATGAGATATCGAAATGTTATGGCATCCATAACAGGTGAATATGTTTCTTCATAATCGACTCCAGGTCGTTGTGAGAATCCTTGTGCGATAAGGCGAGCCTTGTAGCTTTCAACTTTATTTTTGTCATTCCTTTTTCGCACAAAAAATCATTTATGACCAACTGGTTTTATACCAGCAGGTGATTGGACTACTGGTCCAAAGACCTCTCTTTTAGCAAGTGCGTTCAATTCTGATTGAATTGCCCCTTGTCATTTTGGCCAATCAGATCTTTGATGACATTCTTCGACAGATCGGGGTTCAAAATCCTCACTATCTTGCATAATGTTAAGTGCAACATTATATGCAAAAATATTATCCACCACTATTTCAGATCGATTTAAATTAATCCCATCACCAGTAGAACTTATTAAAAGTTCCTCTCTTACTTGAGTCTCGGGTTCATTGATTTCTTCAGGAATCTCAGAACTAATCAGATCTTGGGTCTCTTCAAGAGATCCCTTTATAGTATCGTTTTGATCATTTGTCAATTTTTTTTATCTAGGATTTCGATCCTTAGAACACAAAGGCCTACCACGCTTCAGGCGTGCTTTAGGTTCACTAGCTCTCATGCTAGTAGATGGTCCTGCTGGGACATCAATTCAGATAGGCACATTCTCTGCAGGGATATATGAATTAATTATCCTTTTCAAATCAGTAAATGCGTCTGGCATTTGATTTGCTATATTTTGTAAATGGATGATCTTTTATACCTCCTGATTACATATAGGGGTACGTGGATCAAAATGAGATAATGATGAAACTTTTCACACAATTTTTCTTTTGATTTTCTTTTTCTCTCCCCTAATTTTGGAAAATTTATTTCATCAAACCGACAATCTGCAAATCGTGAAGTAAATAAATCTCCTATCAATGGTTCAAGATAGCGAATAATAGAAGGTGATTCAAACCCAATATATATTCCTAACCTTCTCTGTGGGCCCATCTTACTACGTTATTGTCACGACCCGAAATCCATAAAGGTCGTGATGGCGCCAGACACCACTATCGGGCAAGCCAATAATGAATACTTAAATGGANCACCACTATCGGGCAAGCCAACAATGAATACTTAAATGGATTCTCATTTTCGTTACTTTTGAAATCATATTTTCCTTCAATTTAAATAGCAAAAGATGGAGTTTACAAAGTAAATAATATTATTTTCAAAAATTTCAATACAAGACAACCCATAATCATCCCAAAATCCGGTGTCACAAGTTCATGATCATTTACTAAGAATGTAAAATAAAATACAACAGCTGTCCGGAATACAATTGGACAGAAAAAATGTAAGTACTCTGAAGGAGACTCTGTTGGCTACGGAACGTTGTATAGAATGAAACTCACCTAGGTCCCGCCATAATCGCGCCTTTGCGCCCACAAGGCCGCTAAACATATGTGTACCTGCACAAAAATGTGCAGCAACCATCAAGTGTAGCATGAGTACGTAAATCAACGCGTACCCAGTAAGTATTCCGCCTAACCTCGAAGAAGTAGTGATGAGGGGTCGACTCAGACACTTACTATGGGCTATAATCAATATACCAATGATGATAAATTATGAATTTTTATGAGGCAACGGTAAACACAATTACATGAGACACGTAAATAATTCTCTTGTTAATAGGGGATTTCTAAATTTATCTTCATCTTTTAACAATTTATATCTCCGACCAATGAGGCCATATCAATTGTCAATAATTCCAAACAATCAATTAAGTCATGCGCAAATCATGCCGAGGTCGTACGGCCCGATCCAACATAATATTTAAACTGTGCACTGCCAGAGGGTCGAATGACGCGAACCATAGATGCATCTATAAATTTCCCCACTCGCGAATCATACATGCGATGCGGTCCCCGCTCGCGAATCATACGTGCGACGCGATCAAATATAAATTTAACATTAAAATCATATCTCTTTCTTGATTCTTTTCAAACTAATGAAAATTCAGCTTGTAGCTTTTTAAGAAAACTACCCCGCTCGCGAATCATACATGCGACACAGTTACACATAAATTCTTCAGCTATTATATTATTCCTCAATTCTTTTCGAAATTTCGAAGTTCAAATGAAACCTTTTAAATATTAAGTTCTTCAATTTCAACTCCTTTTAAAATATTTAATAAGCAGACTCAATCTCGCTCCCTCTCAAGGCAAACAATAAACATAAATCAATAACAATATCAACAAGGCATGATGTGAATCTAAAACTACCCGGACTTAGGCATAACTAGTAGCTACGTGCGAACTCTCGTCATCTCGTGCGTATGTAGCCCCCACAAATAGAAGCACACAATAATTTAGTTCACCTATGGGGTTAATTCCCTCTTATAAGGTTAGAAATGAGATTTACCTCGCTCTAAAGTTTCATAACCAGCTTCTGAGCCCTTCAAACAACTCGAATCGATGCCCAACGCCCCAAAACTAGCCAATAATTATGCAAACCCATTAATATACACTCAAATTCTCAATATAATCCAATTTATAATAATTTCTAACCCCGATTGAAAAGTCGATGAAAATTACCCTCGGGCCCTCGTGCCCGGATTCCAAAATTTTTCGAAGATAAAGTTTACCGATAGCCTCACGAACTCATATATATAATTTCTATCCAATTCCATAACCATTTTCGTGGTTAAAATCTCATTTTTATAAAAATCTAGGTTTTTTATCTAAACCTTTGATTTTCAAGATTTATAAGTTATAATCCACCCAAAATCTATGTAGTTAACTC